TTATTTGGCCGTAACAGTATTAAAAATATGAAATCAATGAAGTACATAAATGAAATTTTTTATTCTTGGTCAAGATCTGAAATTTCAATGTCGCTCTGAGAACTGCCTCCAAAACTTACAAGTTCATCCAGGTTGTCTTGGAGATTTTCAGCGGACATTATTTCCTTTTCGGTTTTTCTTAAGACATATTGATCCTTATGACTCCTGTTTTCTTCAGCAAAATGTTGAAATGCTGACGAATCGACATGTTCGGTATTTTTGAAATTGCCACGTATCACTCTAATTGATTTCATAGCATCTCGTGCAACATCTATCGTGTACTTCGCAGCTGTTTCTTCAATTTCATATTTGTCATACTCATTTCAGTATGTGTCGGCAATTTCCAGCGGCTCCGGTCGTCAAGAAAATCTTTTTTCGAGCAACCAATCATGATTCTTTAATTTATAACAATAATAGGAAACTTTATCCTTAACAATTAACAACACTTAATAATTCTTGTTCATTGTTAGGTAACTTGAGAATTAGGAACTCCTTAAACAATTGCTTCAATAATGGCTGTCACTTTTGTAGGCTAAGAAAACTTGGTCGGTGCCAGGTGGAAATCTTTTCTCATTTTTAATCAGGGACCGAGGACGGCTCGGTTGGTAAGGAGTTGACCTGCCAACTCGAACTTCCTGGAGGTTGTGGGTTGGATTCTCACCGGGAGCCTTGGGTGTTATTGTGTTGTCTGCACTTAATCGATAAATACTAATGTGCTGGCAAATTGCCTAAGAACAACTCCAAAAAAAAACAAAATAATTGACCCACATTGACAAAAACTCTTCTAAATATAACAGTTTTGTTTGAGATATTTCCTGATCGACCTTAAATACCTGTATCGTCAATTAATAAAGTCTGTTCGCTTTACGGCCTTTTCACGAAGAGGTAACCTCAGGTGAAGAATATGAAATATCTCCGAATCACTTTCAAAAATATATCTTACTTGTTTTCATGTAATAATATAACTTTTCTGCATTTTGAAACGTAGGTCTATCTAGTGCTTCTAAAGCCGCGTTATTATTATTAACTTTCAAAGTAGGCCATGGACAAACAAAATCCGCGAGCGTCACATTTGTGACATTTTGTTTTTCTTCTTTAATTTGCTCTAAAACTGGTTACTAGACAATTTTTAACCAACCCATTACTAAAAGCATGTTTTTTTCCTATGGAGATTAGGGTGACATAATTTTTTTAGATATAACAAAACATTTTATGTTAATAATTTTATAAAAAAATACTTGGTGGTTGACCAGATTGGTTAATATCGGTTAATATTATGCCCAGGCCGTTCTATTATTTCAGAGAAACATGCATAAAAAAGAAAGGGAACGACAATGAGCTCAAGTACACAGAGAAAAACAGAAACAAAATAAAAAAAGCAATTTATTTTAAGAAAAACATTCAAGCAAAAGCTTTATGGAGATTTGCAAGCGCAAAAAATTATATATGGTTTTATATAACCATAATTCTAAAAATCGAAGGGGAACGAGAAACAAGTAGGAAAATGGTTAATTACTATAATTTGAAAGAAAAGAAAATCAACCAAGAGAAGGAAGTGTTGCAGGAAACAAACGTTTTTAAGTCACCAAAAGCCCTAGGAAAAGCACTGACGAAACTGAAAAACAAAAAGAAGTTAGGAAAAAACAGTTTTACAACTTAAAGTTCCAAATAAAAATTCTGTGGGTAAATCAACTAAACTAGACCAAGATTTAGTAAAGAAGATACAGCAAATTTACTTCACGGATGGCCCCGAAAACCGGGAAAGCGGGATGTTATTTCAGTGAAAACTAAAGAAGACCCGATTAAGCTTCAAAAACGGCACATGTAAATGGCTATACGTGAAGCTTATGCGGTTTATTTTGAGGAAAATCTTGATTCAGGGATCAAGTCGAATTCTAATAGTTACCACCTGACAAAAAATTTACTAAGCTTCGATCTACTCCGCACTGTGTGTTTATAAGGTATTAAATAATTTCCAAAGAGCTCCAAGGAATTACTATTGGTTCTGTGTAACAGCATAAATGATAGCAACTATGTAAAGGGACTACGCAGCAATTGGGAAAATGACATGCATACCTTTGGCATTCGAAACATGGAAAAGTTGCTAAAATTCATTCGGCAGGTCCCAAGTTTTAGAAATAAAAGGGTCTGTAAGAGCGGCTCTAAGTTCCAGCATTTTTCGGACAGTTTCAAATTGATCAGTAGATTAAAGTTGTTCAAGGAAAAAAGTTTGAAACGTTCCAAAACGAAAGAAGTGACGAGAAATCCATGCAACAAGTAAAGGTTTTCACTGCCGTAGCATGGATCTGTAACTGTCATTCTTTTGCTGTGCTTAGTGATATCCTTAATCACAAAAAAAATTGGGTCTGGGTTTTTCTGAAGATAATTATTCAGTTGCTACTCGGCTCTAAAGCAAGTTTACATTTTTCTAATGGGTGTGCGGCACAATCCAACTTGACATTAACAAACCAGTATGGTTCTTGGAATTTCTTCGCAACGTTCCATGGAAAGAGAGCCTCTGACGGTGCTGGGAGTAGACTTCAAAGAATGGTATGGGAGAAAGTCAAAGGGATAAAATCAATAAACAATGACGCCAAATCATTCTACAATGTTGTTAATTCTGCCACTTTTTCAAGGCACTTGACAACCAAAGACTGTGAATGGGTCAAACCGAATTGAGTAACCTGAAAATAGTTGCTATTAAAAAGTGTTAGAGAACCTGCTCATTGTAAATTTCTTACACGCTTTGAATTTAAAATTAAATACATAATTAAGAAAGAATATATATATTACCGTTTTAATTTCGTCCCATCCATACTTTAAAACAATGGGCAAAATTTACATATTTCTAAAAACATTTACAAGTATTAAGTATAAGCTTCATTGTAACTTATTGGATTTTTGCAAACCAATTTAGGAAAATAATTTGAGATTTTTTTTAAAAAGATGTCACGGTTCCGTTTTATTATTACCCTTTATTGGCGTATTTAAGATATTAATTTATTATAGATTAGGACTGCCGTATTATTTGGGCGAGAGTCCTTAGTGAACGTGGCTAACGCCGATTAGCGGCTTAGCGCGGCATCTGTGGGTTGGTAAAATACGGGTTGCATAGTTCCCGAAAATTACAAATTTGGATTTGATTCCTAATGGGTTTTATTTTTCAACGTTATACAAAGCTGCTTCACAGCGAAGCAGTAGATTTTTTTTATCGAAGTCCGTAGTAGTTCTGTTCCGGATTTCCGAAGTATTGGTTTGGAAGTATTAGGTTGGTATTGTGCCTAGGGTTATTTTGTTTTGCTAGTTTTCGATCGGTTCCTATTCTCAGGCCTCGATTCCCTCCAATTTTTTGTGGCTGAGGACTTATATTTAAGGTGGTGAACGGGGTTTTGGGACTCCTTTTTCCTCGATGGATTTGATGGCGGCAGAAGCCTGGTGAAGGTTATTGGAATATTGGTTGGAAATTTCCCGAATTTGAGGATCGAGCCTTCCGCTGCGGCTACTGCGACTTGTTGCTTGGGTGCACAAGTTTCCCGAGAGGGGATTTATCTGCCGTCTAATTCCCGATAGAGACTCCTAGGGGCACACATCGTGGGTCCCCCCGTTAAGAAAACTCTCGTGGCCGAGGTAGATTAACCTTGCTCTAATCTGGCACTGTTTTTTAATTTTACTCTGTTGGGGGGTAGTGTTTCTAGAGACGCTTGTTTTTATTGTGTTTTTTTTATCTTCTCTCCTTCTCGGTTTTTCCGCTTGTCCCGCTTGTCCGGATTTGGTTTTGTTGGATTTGTGGAGCTGTGACCCACTGATTGGCACGGAGTCTGCCCGTGCATTGTCTCCGGACTTGCTTTTGTTGGATTGTGAGCTGAGACCCACTTATTGACCAAGCCTCCGTGCACTGTATACGTATTCCGCCTACGAACACTTGCGCTAGGACGTGGCGAGCGGTGGAAGCCAAGGACGGTAATGCAACGGGGCATGAAACTATGAAGCTTATGAGGTACCGTTAGTTATATGGGATTTTGTTAATGCTATAAGTGACCCTCCCCTGGTGTGACGCACCCGTATGAGTGGCACTAGCCCGATTTATTCGAACATAACCTCTGCTATCGCACGTTGCAGCACCTGTTCTCCGCGTGCGCTCTGTATACCCCTGGTGCACACTTTACTAAGTTTCTCCCACCTTTTAATTCCAACCGGAGGAAAATCACCTGATACACCCGTAATTTAGTTGATTGAATATTGTACATTGGTTTAGCAAGTTTCACCGAATTGGGTACTTAGTAATTTAGTTATATTATTTCCAGCTTTAATTAAATTCATTCACTTAAATTTAGAGTTTCATTTGCTTGCCCTATTTAAGAAGTTGAGCCCACTGCGTAGGTGCCGAGGTGCAGAACAGGCAGAGTTTTTTCGTGATTTGGGGGCTCACCTTGTGCTGTTCAGTCTGGTTCAGTTGCGGTAACCAAGCCGGACCGTAGATTCACAATTCACGTGGCGCCCAGAATTCAACATTTTGTCAGGGCTTGGTGATAGCAGCTAAACTACCCTGAATATCTACGGGTAACCTAGCCGGGTATTGTGGTGGCATTTACCATACGCCCCTGAGATTTTGGCACGTCACAAAGAGTAGACTGTTTTGATTGTTCATCCACACCAAACTTTGAGACTTATAAAGAATAAATTATTCCAAACTATTCATTTCATAGCACTATTATTCCGAAATCGGATTTATGCGAAAAAACAATTATATACTTTTTTATTTCAAAATGTTTTGATAGTTTCATGCTTCTGATACGTCCCATCCATCGCCTTGCAGTAGTTTCGAAGCGTCACTCGCAGATGCACTCCCATTTGCACAAATGGATAAAAATTTTCCCAATATCGGGATTTATCAAACGTTTAAAAGATACAAATTACTTGCACTTCATGCCCCAAGTCACGTATATTTAACTTCAATTCAAAGCATTGTCCAATTTCCGTGTATCTTGTCCTAAAACAGGTGAACGATCATCGTGGACGTCCAGTCAAACCGATATCTCATCGGGAATCATATCTCACGCTGAAGAAATGTGACTACAACTCGTCAGCATGGTTGCGATACTCTATATTTGACTGGAGACTTTTCAAAAATATAATACAGAAATGATCTTGTCAAGTATGATCATGTCTTTCACTTCGTTCTGAACATATTTATGGTTCGCGAGATTACAGTAGTCGGTGGTACGCAGCGCTGGGCCATCTCTCCGCAACTCGAGAAACTAAAAACGTCTGTCGACGAATACTCAATTTTCGGCTATATCTTCCAAACCAGTTCAGAGAGCCGTAATTATGTAGTTCCAGTTTCTGACGATAACTTTCAAAATTCAGGCCTAGATAATAAAAGCTTTTGCGTTTATCGTATTGGTGTGCCATGCCATTTTGTATTTTTCGGTGAGATAGTAGTAGTGGTAATTAATTCTTCATTTGAAAATTGGATTGGACATCATCACTTGATTGATTAAAAGAGAAGTAACTCAACGCGTAAGAGAAATATTTTTGGCCCGAATAAGCATGACAACTGTGAGTTCCATGTTTGAACACAATTTTTTATTGTAATTCTGAAATCTCTCGACTCGTTATCGATCTGATACGGTTTATTCGATTTTGGTTTATGAATCCATTAAAATAATTCCATTACTTTTCCATTACGTTTACGCCCTTATTATTTGGGAATTCTAAATATAGCGCAGCATAAACCGTTAACCCTAGCAAATAATTAGTGAAACAATTAAGGGAACCGCTCGCTTTCCGTTTATCTAAATGCAGGAAATTACGAGCAGTTTTAGTTTTAGATCAATACCACACGTTCGTGGCATGTCATGCCATCATGGGTGAGCGCTCGGGATGTGATGTCTGAATCCATTTAAATTTAGGCCATTTCAATCCGTTTTACCGCCTTATTAATTGGTGCAATGTTGACCTCCAATTTAAAGCCAGCTATGCACCGCGAACGATGTCATAAGGTGGTTTCGCATGGACTATTATTGGTAATTGATCAACAGTCTTACAACTTCTTCTTCCAGTAATTATCCTGTCCACAATAATTCTGGCTAACAATGTTATTCGTAACAGCTCGAAAAAGCCTTGTTGTTAAGGGGAACCAATTTCTAAAGTTTTTTCTTGGAATATGTTTTCCAGTTATCTGTATCTTTTCTGGTTCCGTCGCTTTTTTGCACTCTACATAGAACTTCATCATTATCTTGTGATCAGGTAAGTATGCTAATACTATAAACCAATTTGAAGCATTTGAAATGTGGTTATTCAGAGGACTACTGAGAGTATCATGGACAGAGCATAAAACATTAAGGTTTTGAGACGTACGCGAACGGCAAGGGAATTGTTTCTAATAATTAAAAGAAGAAAAGCAGCTTTTCTGGGTATATATTTAAAAGCACGAAGTACGAATTACTGAAACTAATCATAGAAGGAAACATTGGGGGATCGGAAGACAACAGTATTCATGTCTTGAAAATATTAGAGACTTGATTGGCTTCGATGCTCGCTCACTCTTTAGAGCTATACAGAACCCTGAATAATTTGCCAAAATGGCCATCAATATCCATTAAGAAGAAGACGCGTCCTTGATCTGTTGCATTTTGATATTGAAGTACCTTAGATATATGTTCAGAATATATATTGAACTACATAGTACCCATCGCTGTCTTGCTCGGTTAATAAGCAATCTATAAAGCAGAGGACTACTTCATAATCTACATCTCTACATCTTTGGATTATAAATTGAATACTCTGGTTCCCATGGAGTTCCGATACCCAAATCTTTTATGAAGGATCTTAATGAATAATTCTTCAATATTTCTATTAATGACGTGTCAAACTTCCTGGGCAAATCTGGGCGATCCAGTAATGTTCGTCGACGACAGCGCTAAAAATACTACTACTAGAATTAGCTACTAAAAGTAGCATTGCTGGGGATATCATGCAATCAAAAGGGATACATTTAAATTCAACCAAATAAAACGCATTTCAATTTGAAACGAAAAACCTGCTTATGGATTACAGTATCATGAAAATATTGTATCTAAAATTAGAGCTTATTGTTACTTAATTAAAGTTATATATAAATATAATATAATTATTAAGTGTTAAATTTGAAATACCACGGAATTGTTCAATCGGCAATGTCTTGCGGTTTAATTTTCTGGGGACATGCATATGACGCCCATCAAGTTTTCATCGCGCAAAAAGGAGTGATCAGACCCATAGCAGTCATACAGATAACTTATTGGTTCCCGAATGCTTATAGATTCATAGTAATAAGACCCTAAGAAAAAATTAAATTGAACCACCTTTTTAGAGGCTATCAATTTGTCAACACAAACGGGCTTTGCAGAATCGACATTTAATAATAAACCCAAATAAAACTCGAGCAGTTCCTTGTTAAAAATTCATATTATGCACTAGTCAAATTTTTCAACCACCGAAGATCTCCAGGTTTGTGAGGCTTGATCTTTTAAAAGCTATGTGTGATGTTTTTTAATACATATCTATCTATTGCTAGTCTCACTTGGTCCACGGTAATCAAAGGCCCTGATTCGTTTGCTGTTCTATGAAGATTTGGAATTCAGGTTGTCAATTTCCAATATGTGAACCCTTCCCATGGCCCGATATTCATGCGCATCCTCCACTCATCGTGATTGCAGTGTTGCAAAATACAAGAAACTCATTACTTAAGCAAGTATTCTAAGGAAACTAATTACTCACATAGCAGTTATAAGTTAATCAGTTATAAGCTCTGTGCATGATCCAAAAAACAGTCAATGATCTTGTGGAGTGTATCCGCATTAATATCAGATATGTTTGAAAAAATATTGAAGTCACCTTCCATAAAGAAAATTGGCGACTGATATAAATCATTGGTCCTAGGTGTACGCAGATGAAATGTAAGCCTAAATCTGACTTCAATTCAGGGGACGTAAAATTTTATTTTGCTTAAAAGCCGCTCGGAATTCACTGTGCCATGCAAAAGCCCATACATAATTTTTTACAAATTAATTTCCCTCTTAACCTAAAGAGATGATGTGAGGATATATATTATCTTCCTTAAAAACTGAGTATTTAAGGAACCGTCTGTGGATAAACTCCAAGCTATCAATATGACATTTAGTTTTTAGTTTAGTTATTTTTGTGTCGGCAGCTTCTTATTACAAAACCCAACGCTCTTGACGCCGATAATTCCAATTGCTCAATATGAGGTATAAAGTAAGTCTAGAATCGAAGACATTTCCCAAGTCTTTAACCTCTCTTAATCGATTCAATACAGTCCCATTTATTATGTCAATAAACATATTTATGTTCAGCTTTCTAGAGTAAGTAAGCACATTACACTTAGAAACGTTTAAAGCTAATCGATTAAGCAATCACCATTCTGATGTAACATGTTATACTGAAGAAATGAGCAATCTTCGTTGGAATTAATCGTGCGATAGATTTTTAGATGGTCAGCATATACTAATTTATTACAATTTAACTTAGCAATTAGATCGTCAATAAGAATGACGATAAGAAGAGGTCCTAGATTTGAACCTTTTGGTACTCCCGACGTGGCATTTATTACTAGGGAGCTGAACCCCTCGTATTGAAAAAGATGTCTACTATCTAGTAGGTAGGATTTCAGCAAGTTTTGTAAAAAGGCTTAGATAATAAAACATAATGATCAATTTGATCAAAAGCTTTTTTTAAATCTATATATCCGTCTGACCTAAGTCGTCAATTGATGGACAGAAGTATTGAGTCAAGTTGCCAGATTGCTTGGGCACCACTTATTTGAACAAAACCATGTTGCTCAATACTAATATTATTCTTAAGACTAGAATAAATAGAGTCACAAACTATAATTTCGAAGAGTTTAGAAATTTTGCAAAGAATTACACTTGGGTCATCTTCTTTAAAAACAGGAATAACTTTGGCAGTCTTCCACAACTCAGGAAATGTACACATTTTGATAATGGTACTGATTATGTCGGTAAGCGTCGATAAGAAGCTAGGGATGCCATCAGTATCAGATATGACTTGACTATGACTTGGGATTCCTTACAAGTTTCTTTAGCGATTTCTCTTCGATTGAATATATGACCAAAATTTTAAGGGATCACCTAGTATATTCGTTCATATTGCTAAAGTACCTACTCCATATATGCTTTCTCTGTTTGAGTTTTGATTTGACTCCTAAGTGTGAGAAATCTAAATAGCAACAAAGGGCTGCCTGTATTTTTGTAAGCACAAAACAGTTTTTATTTCTCAACGATCGTAGCCGTCTTTTAACTTTCAGTAGAACCCATGACGGAAATAAGTTATTAAAAGTCTAATAAAAACTATTCATGGACTCATCCACATCAGAACCACCATAAACAGGTGGTCAATCCAGTCTAAACAGCTTATCATACATTAGAGAAAAATTTGCCTTTTTAAAGTTGAACTATTTCATGGAGTCACGACACAGGTCAGAGTCTGTAGACTGATTAGACTGTTTCATGTCTACGCTAATCAATAGTGGGGGGCGAAGTGGCACAGGCGTAACAATAAGGCACTCGCCTCTTTCAACAGATCAAGGGATATAATAGATCCAGCAAACGATTCATGTTATTGACACATTGTTATATTGTTTAAGTCCTGATGCTGGATGTCATTGGATGCATTTAAAATGAAGCTTGGAATATTGAAGTCTAAAAGAATGATGTGATTTTTACCAACATCAATAAACACAAAAAAACTCTAAGAACGACTCAAAAGTACTATCCAGTACTGATGGTGGAATGTGCAAAACAAAAACATTGAATTGAAAAGATCGGCCCACAGCAATCTTGCCGCCGACAAAATCAACAGAGTTAGAAATAGAAATAGAATAATAAATAATATAATTGTTTAGAATAATGTAGAATAATGTCTTGAAATTTTCTTCATTTTCCTCAATATTTGAGACAAACTGAGTAGTCCTGACTAGCTGTATTATCTTAAACAGTTAAGTTGTAGGTTCGACAATAATCCTGAAAAAAATTATAATTCTGCATCAAAATCCAAATCGCGCGCAACATTTTTAAAAAAACCTTGCGGATCATATATTTTTCGGAAAAGGCAAATATTTATAAAACTGTTAAGTTTAGCCATA